CTTAAGGTTTTGGTGTTTATCTATGGTTAGTGTTTTCCAATTTATATCAGGTAGGTTGAAGTCACCCATAATCCAAAAAACTGCCTTTTTATTTGTCTCTTTAAGTGTAGTAATCTGATTACATAGTTCCTGCATGTATTCTAAACTAGAATTTGGTGGTCTGTAAACGCTGCCTATTATAAGGGATGTTGAGGTGGTATTAATTTTACAAAATGTAGATTCTATATTTTTTGAGTTAGGTAAGGTAATTTCTTCTGCTATAAGAGTGTTTTTTATTGCTAAAAGAACTCCTCCATGATTATCAGCCCTATCTTTTCTAAAAATTTCATAATTACTATTGAAAATTTCTGCATTATAAATTTCAGGATGTAGCCAAGTTTCTGTTCCTGCAATTATGTCTGGTTTATCACATTCTAATAAAATTTCTAAGTCTGCTGTTTTGTTCCTAATGCTTTGAAAATTTATTACTAAGGTTTTAAGGTATTTTGGTATTACTTCTTTAGTAGGTTTGTTTAGTGAGGCTGTTGTATTAATTTTAGTAGATTTAGGTTTAACAGGAGTGGATCTGGCTAGTGGTTGGTGAGTTGGTTTTGGGATGGTATTTAGGATGTTGTATGGGTTATGAAGAGTGGAAGACAAAATTTCATGTTTTTTATAATTGCTATTGCAATTGATTGTTTACACACGAAATATAAATGCATGTTAAATCTTTTCAAACAAGGCTTTCCCATTTCTACATGCAAGCAAAAGAAAATAGTTTTTGTCATTTTCCTTTGCTTAAAGGTGAAACTATTTTTAGTAAAATAATTAAAAGTACAACACTTATTAAAATTCCTTAATTGTGCAATTTATAAAAGCAAACTCTAAGACGTCAAGAACCAGTCTTCAATACCATTAGCTCACTATTTTTTGCAGAAGCTGATTTAACTACAGAGAACAAAACTCCAAGCAAATAGAAGTTCCAGTCAGTATTACCATGGGAGTCTTATGGGTGCCAGAAGCTGTAATTCCACACTTTAAAAAAACTTTGCTGCTGTTAACACTATTTGAGTACACATACATCAGTTCTTCTTCTTCGCTCTCATTTTACATGTTGGAGGGTTCAGATCAGTAATTCTATACCTGAGATGAACCGCGCAGTGGCTTCCGGATCAGGCAGTTCTCCGAATAGTCTTTGGAGAGTCCTTTTCGGGTCTTGATTTAGTATGCACCACTGAAGGACATGATCAGCATTCTCTGTTGATGCTTCACAAGAGCATGTTTCGCTCGTCCTGACATTCAACTTCCGGAACGTATTTTATTGTCCATTTATAGAGAACAATTTTTTTTGTGGAAACTAAACAAGTCAATGTTGGCTGACTGTAATTTGACAGCAGTCACACACAGGGGTAACAACTAGTAAGCTAGTTTCACAGTTCCGGAACATTATGCGTAAATGTAAAACTAAAATACTGCACATTAATTACAACTGTATATTTGTGGGGATATTGTGATATAAAAAGACAACAGCAATTTTTTAAAAAATCGTAAAATTGGTTTCAAAAATTGCTAACTCTTGTAATATTTCAACGCGGAGTGTGAAAAAAGAAAGAAAGAAACGTGAATATAATACAGTGTCAATATGAATTAAAAGACATTCTACACACTTAGCGAGCGTATCTTTCTAGGATATATACATATATGCGGCCCGCCATTCCCAAACTTTTTTTAATGCGGCCATCGATACAAAAAGTTTGCCCACCCCTGCTTTATAGTATAGATTACATTAAAAGTCAATAATGTCCGAATGACTTAAGGTAAACTGTAACGTCTGTATTATATAAGATAAGATAAGAACTGTAGCCTAGACAAATGCTAATTGTCTTCGTTTATGACTTGGAGAGGGTTAGTTTATTTTTTTTTTTAAAAGTTCTAGTTCTTTATTTGTTCTTTTGTGTGTTCTATACATAGGGCACAGGGCCGGATTTAAGCATGTGGAGGCCCCTACACTTTTTCAAAAGCTTAAATGAAAATCCCCTTACTTATGGTAGTACTATCTACAACCATGACATATTTTAATAGAAAGAACTAGAGTACTTGTAAATTTAAGCTAATTTTCTTACTTCAAAAAAAATAAATTAAATAAATACCGGTTAAAAATTAAAAAAATTTAACCCGAACACATTCGTTATCTAATATGATTGAATAAAGCCTGTGTGTGTGTTTTGTAAATCGGCCTTGTCGTTTATCTATTTCTACTTGTATGTATGAGTGTATTAACACCGGTACTTTTCAATCATTTCACTAGAAATAGTTTCATCTTTCAACACAGGAAAATGACAAAACCTGTTTTTTACTTTTGCTTGCCTGGAGAAATGAGAAAGCTTTTATTTGAAAAGATTTAACATGCACATACAATTCATGAACAATACTTCAATGAAAAATCACGAAGTCTGCCTTCCACTCTTCCTTAGAAATATTGGTAACAACGTCAGCTTCGATATCCTTCAAGGGACATAACAAATTTTTTGTTTGAGATTCTATATTAGTAACAACGTCACCTTCGATATCCTTCAAGGGAAAATAACAATTTTTTTGTTTGAGATTCTATATTCTTCTCAATACCTTGCCCATGTAAAGCCTGACGATACTACTGTGGTACCAAACATTGGAATGTTTTGTTTCCAAATCTTCATGTAGTTCTGGGCCTGTAGTTCGAAGACTCGTACCACTGTTAAGTCCACATGTTTGACATTCTCTTAGTTTTCTTTAATTTATATTTAAAAAATAAAAAAAACTTTTTCTCAGCCAAAACACGGGCTTCGTCAGTTGTTAACCTTTTCATTTGGTTCCAAGCTAGCCCAAGACTTTCAACACAGTTCGTCAAAGCATAGTGGCCTGAGTTTGAATATTTAACTCAATGTTACGAAATATTGCAAATAGGAATAATCTAAGTTTACTTTAAGCATTTTAGAATGACACGTAGATCTAGAGACAATGTTTCTTTCGCCTTTTCATCATAAGTGATAATAATAAGAAATTTCATTAATTTATATACAAATTTAAAATCAGTTGTTTTTTTAAAATTATATTTGCATTTTCATTTGTATAATCTGGGGGCACAGATGATTTATGTAGATGTTCGCGGACCACATAAGGCAGTCTGGCGGGCCTCATGTGGCCCGCGGGTCGTAATTTGCCCACCCCGGTTTTAAAGGTAACGCAAGTGGAATGAGTTAAGTTATCTCTCTTGCTTTGTGTAGGTAGTCCGCGACTCACTGGCGTACAGTAGCGTACTCAGAACGCGTGCCTTGTAGACCTCCATTTATGTCGCTGTACTGAGCTAGTACATTTATACTCTCGCTTAAACAGGATTTTTTTTCTGAGGGGTGGGGATGGGGCTGGGTAAAAATGTTCTTTTTTAAAATCTAACATTCAATAGTTATTAAGAAAAAATAATCGCTTTATAACTTGTATAAAGGAAGTATTTTATCTTTACCTATCTCTTAGTCTGTTGGACCGCTGGGGCACCATGCAAGACTCGTCAACCGTCTTTCTCCATTTCTTTTGCCTTAGAACCTATTTCAAAGGCATGCCCGTCCATTCTTTAATATTGTCCCCCCTTCGCTTTCTCTGCCTCTTCTTCTTTTTCCTGGTACTGTTCCCTGAAGGAAGGTCTTTGCGAGCCATAAATTTTGAGCATGCGTTTTTTTTAAATATAGTTAGCAGGTCATCATGGTGTCCAATCGCTGCAGTAACCCTTTCTCTAATCTCTTAGTTTGTAATGCGGTCTTTAAATGTGTTGTCTAGGATCCTTCTGTAGCATCTCAATTCCATTGCTAGGATCCTCCTCTCTAGCTCTGAAGTAAGCGTCCGAGACTCACAAGCTTATAAAAATGTGGCCTTGACCAGGGAGCGCATCAGTCTGATTTTGGTGCCGAGGGCTAAGCCTTTGCCTTTCCATATTATTTTAAGTTTTGAAAAGGCTGCTGTGGACTGTGCTATTCGGGTATCGTTCCCTCATCTGAGACAATAGCTCCAAGGTATTTGAAGCTGCTAACTCTAGTCAGTTTTTCGGCTCCGATACTGATGCCCCTTTTAAAACCCTGTTGGCTATTGGTCATAATTTTTTTTTCAGCATTTATTTGTACCATATGTTGCGGAAGTCTTGTACAGGTCAGCAAGTTCTTCTTCTGTCCCTGCTAGGCCATCTTTGTCATCTGCGAAGCGAAAGTTAGTAATTCTTCTTCCTCTAATGCTTACAGTACCTACATAGCCCTCGAGAGCATCTTCCATTAGGAAGATATTGAAGAGTGTTGGTGACAGTAGGCAGCCTTGTCTTACTCCAACTGTGGTTTTGAACCAGTCCCCAATATTATTTTTGAAGTACACAGGCGCGGTGGCTGAGCGGTTAAGCGCTTGGCTTCCGAACCGGAGACCGGGGTTCGAATCCTGGTGAAGACAGGGATTTTTAATTTCGGGATCTTCGGGCGCCTCTGAGTCCATGGGCACCTGACATTGGTTGGGGAAAAGTAAAGGCGGTTGGTCGTTGTGCTGGCCACATGACAGCCTAGTTAACCGTAGGCCACAGAAACAGATGATCTTTACATCTGCCCTACAGAACACAAGGTCAGTGAAAGGGGAACTTTTTTTTAACACCGCACTGGTGGCATCCTTGTAGATGTTCTGAATAGGTAAACTAAACAAAACACACACAAAAAAAAAATTGTCCATAAAAAAGTGTGCTTCTTTAAGTATGTTTAACTTCTGGTTAACTGTTAATGTAACGAAGAAAAAAAAAAGAAGACTCTATGCTGGGTCCAGGTACTTGAGATTGGACCAAGGCAATTATAAGCAGAATTGGGATTTTCCCAACTTACTGAAAACTAATTTTAGCTCTTTGCCTGCCACGTTATTGGATTTTAAGCCAAGTATGGCATATCACATTTTGCGCATGCGTTAAGTATTTTGAATAGATATATATATAGACAGAGTCCGGATAAGTAAGACAGTGATGTTCAGATTTGTGCCATCAATGTATTTTTTGTTATTATTAGATATTATTTTGTTATAGATTGTTGGTTTACTTGCTTTTGTTTTTAATTTTTACTTTCTTTTTCACATTATTAAGACAAAGATTAGAATAGCTTCGTCTAATTGCACGTAGATTTAATTCTTTTGATGTATTTAAATATTTTTTATAGGCCTACTGTTGAGACATGTCTAGTAGGTAATAATGTAAGCGTCCCAGTCAAAATTGCATACGTTAATGCCCCCTTTTATTAACACAACATTGATGTTTGTATTACCTTTAGTGAAATGTTTCTTTGGATTTGTTATTACTATTTTATTAATATTTTACAGATTTTGAATAAAGCCTGTGAGAAACAGACTGTTAGAAGCAAACAGTGACGGCAACTTGACAACTGAAGTTCATGACAAGGAAGACAGAAAAATGAATTTTAAAAATAATGATACAGACGAGTTTAGTAGTGACCAAACAGGAGAGACTTGTCTAGTTTCATCAGGAGAGCAAATCAAACGAACCGGACAGTGAAGAAAGAATCCGGCTTTTAATGCGATTTTGATCAACAACAGGCTTTACATAGATTAGACATTGCAACAGAAAGTGAAGTGATGTGAATTCTACTAATAAACGCCGGGACCATAGAGAAAGCATCGGTGACAGTCCAGAGCGCATACTACACGGTCATGGCTTTTGTTTTTACATGTTTCAGATTTATTAGCAAGAGGCTTTACATAGCAGACAACTTAAGGACGTCAATTAAACTGAAATGAAATATACGAAAGAGCGCCAATATCTCAGCTTTTGTTTTCACGTGTGCCTTTAGATTTGAACATCCTGGTTGACTGGTTCGAACCTCCCGCAGGACGGTGGGAGATGGCGACGACAGGGTTCAAACCCAGGACCTTCGGTTGACAATCAAGAGAGCACTGTACACGATCATGGCTTGTAGGGGCTTGTCATGACTTGGTCCAAACCACATACAGGAATGCAGAGGTCCCTACCCTCCCAAGGAATAAATTGCACGGGGCCACATTTCTCAAATGGATTAGGACCTTGTCTAACTAAATCCGGTCCTGACTGAATTTTACAAACTCGGAGCCCTGAGTGGACAGCTTGAAGCGCAGACCATACGTTGTGTCAGCCGGATCATCAACACACTTTAATTTTTTTCTGAACAAAAAATAAATAAATAATAATACAATAATAATAATAAAGCAATAGAACGTTATATATGTTTGTCTTGTTTTCAACGCATGTAGAGTGTATGCTAGGTGCGTTTGTCTGCATGAGTCAGGAGTGTCTCAGAAAAGGTCACGCGAACTATTTATTAATAGTGATCATACTAATACACGTCTTTCCCCTTGTCGCGTTAGATTACGTGGACCTGAGTCAGTGAGAGTGATATTTATAGGCTCCGTGTCATTATAAAGGTAAAACCCATATTGCTATTTCTGTTTCAAAAAGCCCCATTAATCGGAGATTTAGGACGTAATCATCTTCTTTTTTGAAGTAACGTCTGTATTATATAAGATAAGAAGATAAACAACTGGTTGAAATTGTCTCCTACAAAAAAAATAAATAAATCATTATGCAAGCACAGTGTTTGTACAGGAAAAAAAAATAATCGTGAGTACATATTAAATAGAAAAAAAATCTAAACAGAACAATAAAATATCACCAATTATAATTATGCTTTACTGCTCAATGTTATTAGAAGCAGTAGTTTTAATAGTCCTTACTGTTCTAAAATATTGTTAGATTAAGAAATAAGCCATCAGTTTTAGGGATGAAATAATTTACATCTGCTTGGATCTTTCTCAGACAGAAATTTGTTGAAACAGGCAGATAGAGACAAGCTTTTACAGTTTGAGAGTTCCAAAAGTCTTAGACTCTATTGTTAGGACAAATTAGAAAAAGATCACTAATTTTCTTAATTAAATAATATATTCATACAACTAAAAATTTATTAAACATACATATGCATATATACTTACAGGGCCCGATTAAGTGAGTGAAGGCCTCCTCACATTTCAAAAGATATTAATATATTATAAAACACCACTTCTTAAAACTTATAACTAAAAGCATGCCATTTTGTTTTAGAAGAAAACAAAATAGCACTTGTACATGTAATCTCAATTTCCGTCTTTTAATCCCTGGGTTGTAAATCCGGAGCTTCACGTATATAATACTAAGTTAAGTAAGTTCCCCTTTCAGACCTTGCGATCTTTTTCTGTGGCCCAAGGGTAACGAGGTCAGCACAAGGATGAACCGCCTTTACTTTCCCCAAACTAATATTATGTACCCATCAGAGTTGGGTGGACTCATAGATCCGTAAATTAAAATCGCAATCCTCCTCTAAGAGTTTTTATTTATATGGTACCAGGAAAAGGTAAAAGGGAGCTAACTGCAACACAAACACTTACCCACATCCTATTATCTCCCCTTATATTTTCTATTAATAATTCACACTGCTTTCTAAAATACATTTCCATATAGTTCATAGTATCAAGTAAGTATCTTGATGGAAACAGAGTTGGAAAGGTGCAAAAGTGATGAGAGGTTGAAAGGGTAAAGACAATGTAAGGGACACCAGGGATAAAGAGGGAGCTACACAAAAACTGGGTGTTTGTTACACAGGGTTTCATGACAAATCGTTCACATGACATGACACATCAATCATAGATAACTGCCTCTCAGACAACTTGTTCACGACACATGTATTCATACTATTGCCATATCTTACATCAAATAGAAGAAAGGTAACTAATTACCCAGATTTACAATGTATAGATCTACTTATATTATTAAATTTATTTAGAATGACGATGGGAAGGGGAAACATTATAAACAAATGTCAAAATACCAACAAGCATATTTATAAGTAATGTTCCCCTTTCAGACCTTGCGATCTATAGGGCAGATTATATAGCGGTCATCTGTTTCTGTGGCCTACCGTTAACAAGGGTGTCATGTGGCACAACCAACTGCCTTTACTTTTCCCCAATAATGTCAGGTACCCATTAGAGCTGGATGGACTCAGATGCACACAAAGATCCCGAAATTTAATAAGTGCTTTAAGTCAAAGCAGTAGGACTGAGAAAAAAATGTGAGGATGATATGACCAGGGATGGTCAGAAGTCTTTAAAAAAAATGACAAATTTCTATAAACAAAAGAAAATACGTTTTCAAGATATTGAGATTAGTTGTGAAAGTGCTTATAATGTGGTAAGCAATAAAGGAATAGCATTTAAGATAAATTCTTTAAGATTTCTTTTGAACAAAATTATTGACACTAGATTATGAAAAATTAAAACAAAAACATATTTTGAATTTCCATGGAAATAAATAAGTAATTTTAAATATCCTAAAATTACGAACCAAAAAAGGTTACAGAGACAGTTTGTGTGGAAACACAAACTCAAAATCGGCCCCCGAAGTGGTCCACCCAGCCATGAAAAAAGGGACGTTTTAATGTTTTCAGAAAAATATCAGTATTAAAATCTATCAGAAGTGGTCCACCCAGACAGGTTTCAATATTTTCAGAAAGAATATCATAATGAAATTCTATCAAAGGCAAATGACAGTGAAAAATGGAGAAAGAAGGTTGACAGATCCTGTGTGGCGCCCCAAACATTAGCAGACCAAGTGATAGGTGAAAGTGAAGTTAGATGTGAATCTGGCCTAACTGATGTCTTATAATGAGTATCTAATTGTTTTGCAGAGGGTTAATCTCTTATTCAAAGCCTCAAGAGAAAAACATATCCGTAAAAAAAAAAAAAATCCTTTAGTTTTGTGTTCCATGGTGATTGATGCACTCTGCAGTTCACTCGATAATATGAAAAACTACTTATTAATTATTGTTTTAAATGATGTCCAACTTATTTGCATAGTATATAGATTTTTTCTCTTTAAAAAAAAAAGTTAACATTTTTATGTTAGTATGACAGAACTTATATAACTTAGTAATACAATTGTACAAAATAATATTATTTGATCAAAAATCTAAAACCATTTGCATAAATGTGTTAAAAAAAGGTAAATAGTTATCTCCCTTACTAAAAAATCCTAAAGTGTTTGTTACTATTAATAGTGAATAGTTGTAACAATGGTGTATTTTTATGAAAAAACTGCTTGCATAATTGATTTAAAAAATTAGATTTTTCGCTTGCAGAAAAGAAAAAAGTAGCCTTTGCATCAGAACTTTGATGGACGGACAGACAGGCCACACAAAACTAATAGCGTCTTTTCCCCTTTCAGGGGCCGCTAAAAATTGTAAAACATGTAAATATATGATAAAGCCCTTTTAAATTGTTTAGCATTATGGCAGATGGCTCCAAGCGCTTTTTATATTCCTGATGCACTTTCAGAACTTCCTTTTTTTTCTGCCTCCTATAGTTTTCTTTTCTTTTTTATTAAGGTTATTACTTGGATGTTGTAAACATTGGTTGTTTTTTTCAAGATTGAGTCATTGGTAGAATAGTTGTGGTAGATCGAGGCTAGAATAGTCATACTATTTCTTCAGAGACTATGTTTCACTCCGATAAGATAAAATTTGCAGAGGATTTTTTGAATTTTATCTGTCTTGAGACTGTCAGCTTTGTTTCCTTCAAGAGTAACTGATAAAAGAAAAAAAAATGTAAGAATGTTGATACAAATTAATTAAATTTCTTTTTTGAAAAAAAAAAATATGTAGATAATTTTCAGAACAAAAACAACAACGTAGAATTTATTATATATGTTACAGGCAAGTTCGAAATGCAGGCATTCTATAGAATGCAGGCGTTTTTATGCAAAGTACTAAATAATTCTCCATTTTCTTCTTTACCTAGGCATTCTATAGAATGACAAGATCTGCGTCAGGCAAAGTAGAAAATGTCTTATTTAGAAAGATATTTATAAATCTACTAGACATTTACCAAATACCACTGACTGATTGAACACAAGATCTCATCAACTGTGGTACTTATCCACATTAAATTTCGTACACAGGTTCCTTTTACCTCCTAGAAAAAACGCAAGCTTTCTATCAAACCTTAGTATTTCATTTTTGGTATTTTCACAAAAGGCCAAAGTCTACATATAAAGCATATTTTTAAAATAAGAATATTTCTTATTTTTATATAAACTATGCTTGAAAGCACTTCACATCGTCACAAGCAGTTGTGACAATTTTGTCCTTACCTTGAAGTTTCGAATTCAAGTCTTGCAGATGACCAGTGAGAGCTAGTGCAAATGCTGAATCCCGAACCTATTCGTCAGTTTGAAAATGTTCAACAAGTTCACCTTTCTTGTCAAGAACAAGAAATAAATAACCAAAAAATAATTCCGTTCAGGTCATCTGGATGGATGTCTGGTCATTAGATATGCCTGTCAGTGTTGACACAATGGT